CTAAACTGCCATTAATCCCGTCTAGTGTATTTTTCATCTCATTGTATAGAAGTAAAATTTAGATTTTTAAAAATATCTTTTATGTTTCTATAGAACATAAATTTATATTTTTAAATATCTTTGATGTCTCTATTTAATATGTTTAACATTTTTCTAGCTTTTTGAACACATAAAATATTATAACAACTGTTTTAACATCATTGTTTGCTAACTCTAATATCTGTGTCTGATATTCTGTGTTCTGAGTCTAATATCAGTGTTCTGAGTCTCTTTCAATATATTGATTTTTCTCCTTGTTATAGAATATATTTTTCTGCTATTCAAATGCCAGTTTTTTTATAAGACGCCAAATTTTGGTAAATTTATCTTTTCTGGTGCTAGATAATTTTTATGTCAATAAATATTCTTAGACTTTGTTCTAGAATGCATGTAGAAATAGTTTTATTCTTTTGAGCCTTGCTTTTGAGATTTGTCGGACAAAACCAGAGCAGCATATAGTCTAAGGTTAGTGATTTCTCACTCCTGAGGCCAGACCCTTCTGAGTACCTTATCCAATGCCTCATGAATTATGAGGTTTGCCAGTCTGGCTAGTGGGAATAGGCACTATTTTTGGCACTGTATGATTCCCTCTAGTTCTTTCAATTTGTTCTCCCTCACCCACTGCCCCCATGTTTCCATAGTTTTCTTCATATGCACGTGCTGATCAGTACTCTGCTGAATACTCAAGGAGGAAACTCTGCAGATCTTCAAAATTCTCCATGCAGCTCCCTCTTTCTCTGCTACTCTATCCTATGAACTACAGCTTCCTTGGACTCACCAGACTCTAATCTGTGGCTTTTCAACTCAAGAAGTCTTGTGGGGCTCACCTGGATTTCCCTCTGTACCATAGCATGGAAATGCTTTCAATAAGCTATGGAAATGATAGGGCTCACCTTGATTATTACCATTTCGTAGGGATATCTCTCTTCCAATTGCCTCATGTAGAATGTCGTATAAACTGTTCATATACTGTGTCTGGTTTGTTGGGTTTCTTTAGTTATTTAAGGCAAAAGGATAAATTTCATCCTTGCTAGTCCATCCTGGCCAGAATAAAAAGTCCAATGATGTGAAAAATCAAAAGAAAGAAAAGTGTGCTTGGAAAGAGTCCATTGAATATTAGCTATTATCATTATTATTATAATTATTATTATTATCATCACTGGAGTTTTGAGCTGTTTAGACTGGATTTTCACACAACCCTCTCATTGTATTAACTAAGTTTTTACAAATATGAGGAAAGTATAGAGCAATGAAAATATTAACAGCCAATAACAACTGGGCACTAAGTGCTTTAAATTAATTGTCCATTTAATTTCAGCCCAACACTATAAAGTAAGGTAATATCATGTGCATTTTATAGATGAGAAACCTGAGGATTAAAATGGTTAAATAAATTATTCAAGGTTAAGCATCTTCTAGGAGGTTGATAGAGAACAGAGCCAAGGTCTGGTCTAACCCCAAAGCCCAATTTCTTAATCTTCATATATTACAGTCAGATCACTCCTAAGCAACTGTAAAAAACATCCTTGCTTCATAGACCCAACTCTTTGAAAAGGAGTTGAATAAAACTGTGTCATAGTGCTGTCAGAAATTTTTCTAACTACTAATATCAGAAAGTCATTTCCACAGACATTATGAAAGTACAGTTTTCAGTGTGGCATTCTTGAGTTTGAAGTCCTGCTACCCAGGGCAAATAACAAATTTAACGATGTTTACTATTCTTAGAACATAGCAGATTTGCTGATGAAATTTTTAGTATGTCAATGATTAACATGGGTTCCAGCTTCAGTAGTGCAAAATGTAAAGGTAATAAGAACAATTTCATGACGCTGTCAGCAAACTGCAACCGAACAAGAATAGGACTAAAGGATAAGGGCCATGAATGCATTTATTATGCCAAATAATTCACCTGACGTCTTTCCAGTTGATACATACCTATTATAAAATATTCCATTGTTTCCATAGATATACCATATGAAAAATTAAACTTAAGGCATTCTGTGAAGTTATCTAAGACAGAATATTTGGCATGCAAATCTAAGATTTCTAAAGCCTTATCCATGAAATAATACCAATATCACACTTATTAGTTATTTTAATAGAGAAAATTTTAAAGAATAAAAAGGTACCCATAATTCTATTGTCCTCTTAACTTAAGAAAAATTAATCCATATACATGGTTAAAAAATTCAAACAATAAAGAAAAGTTCAAAAAAGTGTAAGCATTTCTCCTATGTTTCTTCCTTCCAAGCATATCTATTCTTTTCAGTTCTCCTCAATGTAATTATGATTAATTTTTGTTGTGTTCATTTGATGAAAACATAGAGAGATACAGATATAGATATACAAAAGCTTTCTTCTTAAAAATGTACTAAAAATATTTTCATTATTTTTAAGACATTTTTGAAGATATTATATTACCACATACATTCTGATTTCTATCACTAATTCAATTTATTTCAATTCCTTTTAATGGTAATGTATCCAAAATGTACAGGCAGAAATGTAACAGCCCAGAAAATCAAATACAAATATTTTTGCTTATGTTGACATTTAAACTTTACTGGTGAAAGTGAGAAAATTGAGGATGTATATGTTTCAGTATGAGGAAATTTTATGGCAATTGTATAAATTGTCCAGATCATTAAAAAAATAAACAGTACCATCTTATAGTTGATAGAATTATAATAATATAATCTATGAAAATATTACATCTTTTATCTTTTACATTGTTTCTTTTTATTTGCTTATTTCTCGATCTTTTACTAGTGGTTCTAGCAAGATGCTCTTATTTAGGCAATCATTGGGATTTTTGTGGGAATCTTTAACTGTCTTACCTTTTGTAATATTCAATTAATGAGCCCTAGCATTAAATAACATCATGATGAGATATAATTGTCTATTTGGGAATCATTCTCTCTTTAGATAACACTGAATTTAGAGGATGCTGATACTTTGAGATGGAGTCTGCCAAGCTCCTCATTTGCCAGCAAATTAACAAACTCCTCTTTCCTTCTCCTTAAATGATTTGTCCTTGTTCTTCTGATGCAACCTTGGGGACATGTGCTGAACTTTCAGTAACAGAATTTGGAGTCCCTGGGTGAGTTTATCGGCATGCCCGTGGAATGGCAACTCATGACTGCTGGAAGAGGCAGGGAGCAGCCCTGGGGTCAAAGCCATAGGTCTTTGCAGGTAGGGAGCAACTTCTTTTTGAGGCAAAAGAGGAAGGGACAGCTCTATCAGCTGCTGGAGCCTGTTTTAGCTCTGGGGAACTCCCATCTCTCTCTCCCCAAAGTAGAAGTAGATGCAGCTCCCCACAACCTGGACTGAGTTGAGAAGAAAGAAACAGATCTGGAAGACATCTAGACAGCCTGGGCCATTTGCTTGTTGAGTAAGTTCCCTGGGGTGTACCCCAAAATTCCACCCATGTGGTGGATTTTCAGATCTTCCTGTTGATTTTGTTTCTTTTTTTTTTTTTTTTTTTTTTTTGAGACAGAGTCTCGCTTTCTTGCCTAGGCTAGAGTGAGTGCCGTGGCGTCAGCCTAGCTCACAGCAACCTCAAACTCCTGGGCTCAAGTGATCCTCCTGCCTCAGCCTCCCGAGTAGCTGGGACTACAGGCACAAGCCACCATGCCCGGCTGATTTTTATATATATATATTAGTTGGCCAATTAATTTCTTTCTATTTTTATGGTAGAGACGAGGTCTCGCTCAGGCTGGTTTTGAACTCCTGACCTTGAGCAATCCGCCCGCCTCGGCCTCCCAGAGTGCTAGGATTACAGGCGTGAGCCACCGCGCCCGGCCGATTTTGTTTCTTTTGAAGTGCCTTTGGGGAATAGAAGTCACAAGGTTGAGTGGAACTAGGGAAGCTGGTTTGAATTTGGAGCTCATTTGTGGCTCCCATGGAAAAGGGAGGACTAAACCAATATTTGGGGAGCGTTACCCAGGAAATGGGGAAATTAAGCCACCTATTTGGGAAGGGTTTTGAAACTTCCAGCCCTGCAGGGCATTTTTTGAAGGCCCAGGGAATAGGGGGATTAGGCCACCCATTCTGTTTGGGGTGGCATTTATCCCCTTTGGGTTCCCATTTGTGAAACTTCCAGCCCTATGTCAGGAAGCACCATATGGCAGGAGGCACCATCTGAGCTGCCATTTGGGGTGACATCTATCCCCTTTGGATTTCCATTTGTTTGATAGGCCTTGGCATTTTTGTGTTGAGGTTCCCTTATATTGTCTGTTATTGGAGAGTTTTGTTGCAACATAAAGAGGCTTCATCTCAAAGTCCCTTTGGAAAAACTTTGGCTAACTGGTTAACTTGTAGCTACAAGCCCATGTGTAAAGAGAATGGTGTTACTGTAATCCAATGTACGTGCTGGAGCATGAGGAGCAGCAGCTGTTAAATGAAAATCTCCATTTGATTGATAGGTCTTGGCATTTTAGATTATTTGTGTTGGGATTTCCTATATCGTTTGTGTTTGTTTGTGAGTGTTTTGCCTGCTGAGTTTCTGTACCTATGTTTAAGATTATTGTGATAACACTTGTCTAGAGCAGGCATCCTCAAACTACAGCCCGTGGACCACATGCAGGTGTTTTTGCCTGTTTGGTTTTTTTTTTTTTTACTTCAAAATAAGATATGTACAGTGTGCATAAGAATTTGTTCAATTTTTTTTAACTAGAGTCTAGCCCTCCAACAATCTGAGGGACAGTGAATTGGCCCCCTGATTAACAAGTTTTAGGACCCCTGGTCAAGAGTGTGAGGTCAAAAGTGGTGGTTGATGATCTATAGTTTTTTCTGAGCTGTTGGTTCTTTTAAAATTCAGAGCTCAAATGTTCAACCTGGTGCTATAAAGTTAAAATGTTGAGTCTCAGCTCTCTGCTCGATATAAAATCTTTGTTTATGGTTTACAAAATGATCTGTGTTTATATGATTTTTGATAAATGGGATCCTCCTGCCCCTGCCAGAACTCTGCAAGCAGCCACAGTGAGGTGCTGGGCGGGGCCACAACCTGGAAGCAGACCTGGAAGGAGGGAGGACTGGCACACATGGCCTGCTGCTGAGTGGTATGTAGTAAGGGGGAAGGGGTGCCTACCGCCACTGCCATCTTAGCACCATGGGAGGGGCTGGGGAGCATGCCACCTGAACTAACTCTTTAGTCCCATGCTCAGTGAATTATGACTCAGGGTTCAGAATGTTCTCTCTCAGCAGCAAACTCAATTTAGGCCAGAGAGAACCCATAGCCAGGGCAGGCAGTTTGTATCAATATCAGATGGGGGAGGAAGTAGAATGTGCAAGAACAGCCAAAGGGTCCTTTGAGGCAGTCAAAAGGAATGGGTAAAAAAGCTGCCCCAGACTGACTTTTTGTAAAGTAGAAGGACCTTGAAAGCAATTTTGCTCAAAACTGTAAAGACTCCAGGGGGCAGGAAGCCTCCAGGAAAACAAATAGTTGTTTTTGATTTTTAAGTCCAGGACTCAGATGGTAAAGAAGGGGGCCCAGGGAGCCCCCTGTCTCCAAATACCCCCACAGGAGCCCTGGGCAAAATTGACAGTGGGGATTTGATTGGCACTAGCCATGTGGACAGAAGCAGTCCAGGGGAGCCCCTTCCCCCAGCAGCTACCCCGATCCCCAGCACCACATGTACCTGGTGTTCTGTGAGCCAGGCAGGGGTGGGCAGGGCAGGTGACAGTAAGGCAGCCATAGACAAGTGGTGGCTGAGAAACTCAACACAGCAGGCCTGGGAGGTGGACCTGGGTGAGCAACAGGAGAACCAGGGTTGTTTCAGAAGTTCACCTATGGATGTGGGGCACGGCCAAGCTCCTACTGGATGAATGCCAGGGCCTGGTGAAGTACACAGGAGACTGCCATTGTGCCTTGAAGTTCGGGCAAGCCTGCATATCATTCAGTCCAAGAAAAGAGGCCAAGCAGATAGAGAATGGCACGCTGGCAATGGACACCTTGGACAGACAGCTACAGAGATGGCTCAGCAGCTCCTCCTGCTACAGCAAGGATGTCAGAAGACACCCCATTGTCAACAGGACCCAGGAGCACACTCTGCAGAGTCCTGGACATTTCACAAGAGTGATAATGGACCCTGCTTTGCAACGGAGGCCACCCAACAAGTAAGCAAATCCCCACACCTAGAATAGAAATTAAATGTATCCTGGAATTGATACAAGAAACCCATCCAAAGTGAGATAGGGTGTTGCTGCTTCCCCTCCTCGGGATAAGGGTAGCCCTTTAGAAGCAGAGTTAGGTTAAGCCTCTAAAAAATAGCTCATAAGAAACCCTTCCTAATACCCCAAGGTAAGTACAGTAATATAACCATAAGTAAAAGAGAACAGAGTAAAACTGTGTCAAATGAGTTGGTCAAGTGCTAACCACCATACATGAGTTTGCCTCTCAGGTCCCTGCCCCAGTTGGAAGCAGAGAAGTGGAAGGGACCCTGTGCAGTGCCCCTAATAACTCACACTTTGTTAAAATTGTCAGAAGTGAAACCTTGGGTCCATCATACCAAAGTAAAGAGGTGTAGCTTCCAGTAGAGGGGTCAGCCTTAGGCAATCTAAAGTATTTGTTCAAGAAAAAGGAAAAAAAAAAAAAAGAAAATGTTGATGTTTTCACTAATCTTTTTTGGTTCTGTCCATAGGGTAGAGGAATAACTCCTCAGGGAGGATTTTCCAGGGCTATCACGTCTTCTGTTGATCTGTCTTGCAACTGGGTGTGGTATCCTAAACCTATTTGGTACAAGTATTTCTGCACCATTTCTGAATTTGCAGAAGCTAGTCTCTCGCATCACCTACAGGGTACAACTAGTAGCTCTGCACTCAGAGGTCCCATGTTTCTCTTTTCTAACCCAGCCCTGGATTAGACATTCTATGCAAGGTGACAGTCCATTTCACCTTGTCAGTCCTCATGGTTGTAGTTATTGCGTATGCCTTTTTTCACCTGGCAATCTGTACCTTTCATCTAAAACATCACCTCAATTCAGCAGAAAGTAGATGGATGACTATATTGCCCCTCGTCCCATAGATATGGAAGGGTAAAATTGACAGTGGGTAATATGTAAAAGGGAGAATGGCCTGAAAAAGAGTAAAAATATTTTCTGTCTCTTCAAAACCCCCTCACCCTATTTGAGAACTAAAAGCTACATCTCTGCCTCAAGCTGTGGTCAGGAAGGGCAGCAGAGAGTCCTTTGTTCTTTGTGCCGCAGGACATGGCTCAAGAAAATTATCTAGGCAGAGGTCATGAGATTGTCTTAGCCAAAGATAGGACTATGGAATAATCAAAACCTTTAAAAACTGTACTTCTGTTCAGAAATAGGACGTTGGTACTTTGAGACGGGAATCTGCCAACTTCATCATTTGCCATCAAATTAATAAACTCCTCTTTTCTTCTCCTCAAAAAACAAAAAACATTTGATTTAGTCTCAGGATTTACATTAATTTGATCACTGATCTGAAACTTATTGACCCACCTGAACCAATTCTACTTTTTGCAAAAATTAAGAAAAAAAATTGGGACTTTGACCAGGCATGAATTCTATTTTTTTGTTTTTCTTTTCTTTTTTTGTACAGATGGGTTCTCCCTGTTACCAGGCTGGTCTCAAACTCCTGGCTTCAAGCAATCCTCCCTCCTTGGCCTCCCACAGTGCTAGGATTACAGGCATGAGCCACCATGTCTGGCTGGATTCTATTCTTAATTGCCATGATTTTATACTTATTCTCTCCTTTGAAACCAAAAAGAAATTTCATGGAAAAAAAAAGTAAAATGGGGAGAAATTGAGATGTTCTTTCTACCCTCTTTGAGAATCAATTACAAAAATATGAATGTAGAGGACTTCCAGTAAATAATTTAAAAAGTCAATAAAGAGGCTGAAAAACTCAGTTCTGGCATTATTTGGAGTCTATAACTAATTAAGGAATAGAATTTTGAAACATCTTTAAATCCTATACTTATTTCCATTTTTCTCTGTATTACATCTTGTAATGATCAGTAGAATATCCAAATAAATAGTATTCTTGTGCTTAACAAGGACTTAGTGATGCTATCTTACTAGGTAGATAGTTTTCTAAGCCAGGTGATTTGAACCTGGATTCATATCCTGGCCTTGTGACTTAGCACTTGTCTTTGGGAAAGTTACTTAATTCTTCTAAGTCTTCGTTTCTTTGAATATGAAATAAAGATAATGATTTCCTCACATAATTTTGAGAATTATGTGAGAAAAATACACAGTGAGCATTTAGTAAAAAGGAAAGAGAAATAAATATAGAAATCTAATGGTTATGTATGTCAACTATTACCAGATATTAGGTATGCTTCTTCCATATATGGCCTCTAGTTCTTATACATGGTAGATATGACATTTTCATCTTAAAGATTGGGAAACAAGTTCAAGATAGATTGCTGAAACAAGTACACATACCTAGCAATTGGTGTAGTTAGGATTCAAACTCAGATCTTTCTAACTCAAGAGGTTTTCTTCCCATTATACTTTAGTGTCTCCCAAACAGGTCAAGTGGGTTGTGAACGTGGGCTTAGTTTTTACCAGGAGATGGTACTAAACTTCATAAGGTTATTTCTGAATGTTTTTTAAAAAATAAAACATATAAAGAAATTACACTAGTACTTAACACATAAAGGGTACTCATCATCATCATTATAATCATTATTATCATGGTGTCCCATTTTGCTTCCTAAAACTCCTGTGAAGTGTGGGATTCTGTCTTCCATACCTGTATTGATCAATCTCTGCTGAGCTTCTTTTTAAAGCATATCAAAGTGGATCACCTGACTCACAGGATAGATAACTAGGAATTCTCATTCTCGTTAAATATATAATAAACATATATTATAAGTAAAATTGATGATGTTGATCTTAACATTTCATTAATTTTTCTCAAATACACACATATACCAGGTTACCCTGTTACTTCAAAGAAGCCAAACCTAAGGGAATATCTTTAAGTGAAGGACCCATCTTTGCATATACATATTAATATAAAAATATGAGGAAACACAGAAAGAGTTCATACCATTCATAATATTCAATGTATCTAAATTTATTAAGACATTTTATTTATAGTATCAAACTCTTCCTTAAAAGAATTGGAATGCATCTCAGAGCATATATCTGATTTTGTCTGATTTTGTTCCTTCTAGATCAGTGGTTCTTTGCTCTGGGGGCAATTTTACCCCCCAGGAAAATTTGGCAATTCCTAGAGAAATTTTTGGCTGCCATAACTTGGGGGATGGGAAGTATTACAGGCATCTAGTGGGTAGAGATTAGGGGTGCTACTAAGTAAGCATCCTAAATACACAAGACGATACCCACAATGAAAAATTACCCAGCCCAAAATGTCAGTAGTTCTGAGGTTGAGAAAACCTGGTCTATATCAGTAGTTTTTCAACCTTTGCTGCACACTAGAATTACCTAGGGAATTTTTTTAGATGTCAGTGCTTAAGTATCCTCAAATCTAGAAATTCAAAATTAAGTGATTTGGGGTGGGCCTTGCATACATATATTTATCTCCTAACCTCAATGATTACAATGTGCTGTACAACCAGGGCTGTAAGCCACTGGTCTAGATAAAGCTAACTAGTTTCAATAAAGAATTGGAAAAGATGATTACAATGAGAGGAAATCTTTACTGGGATTTTTCCAGAAGAATTCCTGTCCTTCTCTCTCTCTCTGACTGTACCAGGAGAGTGTTAAATTTTACCAAAGATACCATTAGAATTCACTTTTTGTTATAATATGTTCCAAAAGAGTATTCTGACTCAGAAATAAAACTCATTTTAAATGAACCAGACTCAAAAAACAAAAGCAGGAACCTCAATCTCGCCCCCATAAAATATATCCCACTACTGACAGCACCATACATACGGTTTTTCCCATAATCTTCCTGTGAACATTCACAAGATTATTTTTTTTCTTTGTCTCTAAAAGGCTTTTGTTTACCTTTTTTAACTTAAATCTGCAATGTGACTATTCTTCCTGAAAATTCATCCTGTTCCTGGCTCCTTCTTAGGCTCTCTTTGGTCCATTGTTTAATTGCCCC